CGGAAAATTATTTGATTGTAAATCCTATTCGCGTGCGTCAGTCTTTCGGCCCGACAAAGACTGTATAGATTTTTGAATAAACTTTGTTAAACTTATTCGCCGATTTCGCCATATGATTTTCCTAATAGTTTAAGAAATTGGAATAGGCTTAGGTGTTAATCCTATTACGTCTAGGGGATTAAGCGGAGAAGGAGTAAAGTCGCTCACACGTCAAACTCATCATGTGTCACAAAGCACGTGACTTAAGGTGAGTTCAACTCTGCTTGATTGAGGACAATCAAATTAAATCAGCTGACGTTAAGGCGAATACACGTACTAACATACGTGTTAACGGAGCGGAGGTTTGCTCTGCATCGTGGGAGTTTGCTCTTATATAAATTTCCCATTTTTGCAGGTTTGCCCCCCCGTTACAAATTATTTTATTATAACTAACTTTTTTATCTTATTAATTTTTTAATAGATCTCTAAAAAATTCGCGAAATTTTACTATTTCAAGCAGTTTTCAAGTAATAAGCAAGACTGTTTTGGATAATAGTTTTTGTCGATTGCTCAAACATTTTTAGTTTTAAATAATTCATTATATTTTTGTACTAACTAAAATTCGTAGCTATAAAAATTTGAATTGTGAAATAATGTCGTTTTCGTCCCCTTTATTAGTTAATTTAGTTCTAAAAAACGGGTGGAACGAAAGTTATAATATGTTTATCTGTATGACACTCATGCGCAATCATTATTAATAAGGATACGGCTATATTGTTATAAAAAATATATATATATATCTGTTTTTTTGTGTTTAATCATTAATTACACTCAATTTGGCGAATATCTTGAATGAAAGTTGACGATTATATTCATAATAGTTAACTTCGATTTTCCAGTATTTCTCATAGACTTTTGGTAATTAGTTAATAATTAAAACTAATAAAATCTTGGTTGTTTCCAAGTAAATATAATCCTTAACTTTTGTTCTTTATTTTAGTTTTATTATAGATTACATAATATTTTTGCATTGGTAAGATTAGAGTACCACACACACAATTAATTTAAATATTAAAAAATTTTCAAGTATAAATGAAAATAGTACATAGAGGGCTATCTATGTGAAGAGGGCCCAAAATACTTGAATAAGGCCACTCTCGCATACTCCGCTCCCGACCAATTAGGGCCGAAATTTCGCTTACGCTTGGGACACTCACCGAATTTTCCAGCCAATCAAGCCAGGAAAATTTAAGTTCCTCCTGCCTAAAAATGACGAAAAAAATCGGAGTGGGACTCTCTCGCGAAAAGCACAAAAGAAAGCTCGTCTAGAAAAATAGGCAGTTCTACCCCAGTTCGTTCTAATTCAGCAACTTTATAAAAAGGACCATCGTTTTATCAAGTTTCATGTGTGTGTGGGAAATAAATCTTAAAAAGTAAGTAAAAAAATATAATAAAAACCAAAACTCTAATTTGCTTCATTTCTTTCCTCACTCTTTTCTTTGTTAGTTCCGCGTACGTTTTTTTATTTAGATAGTTACACTCGATTGCCAAGCGTATGGTCGAGTGCATATTAGATAGGCGCCCTTTTTCATTATTTATTGCCAAGTGTGTGATAAGGTAACGCGAAGTATAACTATATTATCAAAAGTGTGGTATAGTGAAGCTTCAATCCCCCGTCACCAAAAAAAGAATTTCCCACAATAGTGGTAAGCACGTTCCAGTTATTGTCCAAAAGGATAGATCAAAAAGTGCTTCTGACACTACGTCTATCTCAGACGTGCTTGAGAAATATGTTGCGTTAACCGACGTAACTCTTGTTAACGTAAGGAAGATAAAAGATTCAAAGTGATACTGACAGGGGAGAGATACTTGCCCTCCGCCTCCGATTTATCTGAAACATGGCAGAGGGGTCGAGTTTAGAAAAATATTTCACTCGTATTTTCTTTTATCTACGGGAATTCGTATTTAAAGGGTGAAAACCACCCTTAAAGTTCACCCTCTAAACCCGTTTTTATTCAGTGAGTCAGAGTTGAATCAACATTTTTTACGAAATCCAACGCCTACTTATTTCTTTCAAAAAGACAAATATTTGGGTAAAGTTTAGGAGCCTGAACGCTCATGTGTAAGTATGTCTAGGTGGAAAAACTCATCCACGAAACAGTTTTTCTTAATATCTTGTGATTTGATCGGATTCTTTAAGATAAAATCTATGCTTGTTCTTTTCTTATAAAAAAAATGAGTATTCAAGCAGAAATTAGTGATTCAAATATGTTCAGAGGGTGAGAACCACCATTAAAACCCTCAAAAATCAATTTTTTTAATATTTTGAAATTGGATCGGAATTCCTTGATAAAATCAACGTCTGTTTATTTCTTATAAAATAATAAGTATTCAAGCACAGTTTAGGAATCCAGATATATCAAAGAAGTGAAAACCACCTTTAATACTCACCCCCAAAAACCAATTTTTTAATATTTTAAATTGGATCGGATTTTCTTGATAAAATCGGCGCCTGTTTATCTCTTATAAAATAGTAAGTATTCAGGTATCGTTTAGAGACCCAAATATTTCAAAGGGGGAGAACCACCATAAATACTCACCCCCGAAAACGAATTTTTTTAGTATCACGAAATTAGATCGAAGTTTTTTATAAAAGTCAACGTCTGATTATTTCTTGTGCAAAAATGAATATTTGGGTACATTTTTAATTTAGTAGGTAAGGGGTAGCAGAACTTAATTTTTTAACTTTTGTTTTTGATGTGAAAATATTTTTATCAGCCAAATTTATTGGATAATTGGCATATTATATACATCACAACAAATTATTGTTTATCTGTTTTGAGATTATTAAAAAACAGTAATTTAAAAAAATTCAATATAACAGTCATTCTAAAATATAATGTTGAATTGCTTATTTGAGTCTTGTGGCGGGGTGTGAATTCCGTTTTAATTGAGGAGCAGGAGGAGACGGGAGTCAGTCAACCAACTTGTTACTTGTTAGAAATAATAACGGCGAAATTATGATCTGCATCACATGCGAGTTAGTTTATTTATCTATTTTCTACAGTATACTTGGCTCGCGTGTTTATATTTATGTAGCGCGCGCGCGTCAATAACGTGCCGCGCCGGAGCAATCGCAGCTCTTTGTTCGCAGAGTTAGCACATGCACGCTACCGATTCTTACCGAGTACGAGGGATTAGCAATTAGCTCCCCGCAGTCGTACGAAAAGTAAAACAAAGTCGCGATATAAAGCTGGTCAGCTTACCTTTGTATCGGTCGCATTGCTCGAAAGGGGGAAAGGAGACAAGTTCGTTATCGGTTGTTCGTAGGAAACAGCTCACTCCCGGTTTCGCCCTCGATGGCGAAACTCTGCACCCACACTCACTCACACACACTCGCTACAACAGCGACGAAAACAGATATCTCGATCTCGGTAGTGACACTTCCACACAATGTTCGGGTAACTCGGCTGGCTCACTTCGTATCTCTCGGGAAAACTTCGGGGAAAACTCTGGCTACTCTTTATTGTGGCTGGATGTTCCAATAACTTATCCTCGACTGGTTCATTTATATTCGCGCGCGTTCCGTCCCGTGTCACACCAGGTTCCCTTTTTCTATTTTTCCCTAACCAGTAGGTGCTGCCCTCGCAGGCAGCAGCATGGTTGAGGCGATAGCGCTAACAAGACGTTTACCGTCACAGTCTATATATTATAAGTGAAGTAAATAAGTATCAGTATAAGTGAAGTAAATAAATATTATTATAAGTGAAGTAAATAAGAAAGTTTTTTAATTGCAGTATATTTAATAGCAATTGATATCTTTATCAAAATTAATATTAGTAATTTAAAAGTTTTTTTTTTTTGCAAATTTTATTGAATATATGTCTCACAATAATGGTAATTTATGAAAAAATGTTGAAAGCATAACAACCATTCATAGTGCACGATTGCAGTCTCTCCACATACACTGCAAATTTGTTCCTCTTTAAAATATAAACTAAAATCTACTGGAGTTTCAAATCGTGCAGGTTTTTCGGTTAGGTACTCACTTTTCTACTATGCGTATTTAAAAACTTTTTAGAATCTTGGGGAAGAAAATTGGTTATGTGTTAACGATAGAATCTTGATTGTATTATTTCTTTCGTGTAAGTTGATATCATAATTCATAAGAAGTGTTATGTCAGATAATTTTCTTATAAAATTCTTCCATAATCTAAATCAATATACATTAAAAGGTTATATCTAACTTATTGTGCCTTCTGGTATTGTTTTCAAAATAACACTTCTGTCATTTGATACAGCTTCGTTAACAGTTTTTTCACATTGTCTACTCGATGAATCCAATAGCAATATGGGTGCATTGTTACTCTGAACTAAAAAGACATTCTCAATCTAATTTTGAAGTAGTTCCTTGGATAATTTTCCAGAGGCAGATACTTCTAGGTATATATTTCGTGATCTAAATAACGGTTGTACTACTCTAGATCCCAATTCTCCTTTACTCTCTTTCAAAACTATATATAAAGGGGCCATGAGCTTTCGCTCTGCTGATATAGTTGGCTGTATGGTATAACTATTTGTTGTTGAATGTACCGACTGAACGATGTTTTCAACTTTCTACACTCCTTTATAACAAAGCGTTCGGTCATTATGTATTTCTAAATTAAACCTACTCTGGTCAGAATTATAAACGTTTTAAGCACAATGAACTCTTCTAAGATTTTTAACTTCGTTTACAAAATTTTTTTTGTTTTGTTCTTGATCTTTTACGTTCTGTATGGATAATGTAGTAACAAATTTTCTTATCTGACGTGATACAGTGTGATTTTTTTTTTGAATACCCATCTATGTTGTGAAGCTTTAAACCATGGAATTTTGACTTCTATTTTCTTTACAAGAGCCCATTTTTTATACTAGAACATCACAGCGCGCTTCGCGCGCTCAAGGCAAACTGCAGTACATGTTAAATGTTGATAATGGTCAAGTAAGAATTGAAATTATTGAAACGTGAAGAGAAATCATTATTGATACAATTCTGTATAAACATAATTTTTAACAATCGAAGTTTGTCTTTGATTTCCTAGATAAATTGTCAATGAATCCCATGATCTTACTCTAGACATCGCTACGTAAAGTTGACCATGATTAAAAACATCCCGTCTAAGATCAATACCAATTTTTTCTAAAGTTTGACCTTGAGATTTATTAATAATTATAGCAAAAGCCAACTTTATTGGAAACTGTCGTCTTTTAAAAGTAAACGGGTATTTATTTTCGCAGTATAATGTAATTCTATTGAGAAATACTATGTTATTGCGTTGGTCTCCTGTTAATATCTTGCATTTTAATAAATGATTAGAAAAATCAAGTACTTGTAATCGTGTTCCATTGCACAGTCCGTCACTGAGACTAATATTTCTGATTAACATGACTATACAAAATTTTCTTAAACGTAATTTATGAGGAGGAAAGTTAGGTGGATTTAATGTATTAAGATATTCTTGTAGCAAAACTTCTTCAAGATTACCATTATCACAATTTTCTGTACTGTCTATGCCTGTGTATATGTGTTCGCCACTTTTATCTAATAAATCTGTAATTTTATTATTCATTTCATCTACATCAGCATTTCAGGCAGATTAAATTTGCAAAATGACTAATCTCATCAAATTTTTTGTCTTTTATTAAGTTTCCAAAAATGTTTTGAACAATACATTCATCTGCAGGTAGAATATAGTTCGGTGGAAGCTGTATGTTATTATCTTGATCATTTACTGTCCCATTACCGACATCCAATAAGTACTTAGCAAATGCAAGTTCATGCGGCCAAACTCTCATGTTAGTTTTTAATTGAAACTTCGAAAAAAGTGGCCATAATTCAGAGTTCTTAATGGATAAATTTAATATTTCATTACGTGTTCCATTAACTTTTATAGGAAGCAATTGTCTAAAATCACCACCTAAAATCATTATTTTTCCCCCAAATGGTAGATCATTGTTCATTATGTATTTCAACGTTCTATTTACTATTTCCAAAGCATATCTAGGTGCCATTGGCGCTTCGTCCCAAATAAATATTTTAGTATTTTTTAAAATCATACCTTCATTAGACTGTATTTTTATATTTGAAGAAGAATCATTAAACATCGGAACTGGCAACCCAAAAGTTTTATGAACAGTTTTTCCACTGGGCAACAATATAGCAGCGATACCGGTAAATGCCATTGTTAAACATTTGATGTTACTTGACATTAAAAGGTTGTAAATTGTAGTATAAACAAAAGTTTTCCCAGATCCTCCCTGTCCATCTATATAAAAGCAAGTCGAGCCGGTGTAATCATCAGATCGTGACGCTGTAATAACGTTATCAACAATTTCTTTTTGCTCGGCATTTAATTTTTCATATTGTTGATTCCCAATTTGTAATTGATGATGCAGGATATCGTTGTCATTACTATCAACGTCGTGCATTGCAATATTTTGATCCATTGTTGGGAAATTAGCTATACTTGTGCCTTCTTTGAGCAAAATATTATTTATTTCACTGTAAGCCATCTCATAACTTTTAGTTAATTCGTTATGTCGCGAAAAATCTTCGGACATAGCGTCTTTAAATGTATCCCACAATTCTTCTGGGTGAACAGGTTGGCAGTGTATTAATATAATAGCAAATAAATGTCTTAAGCGTTTTGGCATCATCCAAGATACTGCTTCTCTCATTGCTTTATTCCATTCATCATCATCTTCAATAATTCCTAATGCTAAACACGCTGCTGTGAAAGAAGGATGCAATACATTATCTACTGTTTTCAAGTCATTGTAACTTTTTGCGCCTTTAACATGTAGTAATAACAATCTTAAATGAAATAATTCTAATTGAGTTGGACTAACTGAATACATTCTACCAATGCAATTGAAATTTTTTTTACGATCTTCCCATGCAGATACCATTTCATCATTAATTTTTTTCTTCTTATAGGTGAAATGTTTTGGTATTTCATGATAAAAATATTGTCTTGCTCTCTCATTATTAGTATTCAAAGTAAAATAATCAAGTAACGTACTACTTGAGTTATTTAAACTTGCTAATAATGCACATTCAACTTGATTTTTTATAATAATGACTGATTGTTCATTTGGTAGATGTACTTGTAATCTTGTAACAGTATGACTTTTACCTTGCATTGTTTTACTAAAAATACGATAACATGCCTCAACTGGTCCAACATAACGGGTATCAATAAAATTGCGACATTCATCGTGCTCAATCGTGGGACCATTTTCAGGTTGTCCAATCACCACTGTAGCAGAATCATGACCCTTGTATATATATTTGTATAAATATTTAATAGCTGAAATACTTGAAACAATTTCAACGTTAATATGGCAATCAAATATTTTGAGTAATTCAGGACAGTATGGAACTATCCATCTGTTATCTACTGTACGATTATTAGAAAATTCGTGAGCGATACCAGTATCTGTTCGACGATATTTTGGGAAACCATTTTCATCCATAGCAGTATTTTGTTGAAATTCTTTTGGAAAATGTTTCGAGCATTTGCCATCTTTCATGCACCAGTCAGCGCATGGTCCATGAATCATATTTTTCATGACAATGTCGTATAACCGTGGATTCCTAATTTTTATTGGTATTTCTGCAGATATGAATTTATCAACTACATCAGGTGTAGTAATTTTGAACCCTTGTTCAAATGTAATCAATAAATGCATATGCGGTAATCCTCTTTTTTGGAATTCAATAACATATACGTAAGAAGCAACTTTGCCAAAAAAGCTTTTTTTTATAACAATATCAAGCAAACGATCTTTTTTCAAATCAAAAACTCTAGCAACTAAATCTGGCCTGTCAGCTGCTTGTTGACCTGGAAGCAAATTTTCTTTTATTTCTGGCCAATTTGGATTACATGTCATTGTAAGAAAAATATCTGGTTTTCCTGTCTCATTGACAATAGCCATAGTATCTTGATAACATTGTTCCATATATCTAGGTGATCCTGTAAAAGATGACGGAAGAATGATAGTTTTACCTACATGACTATTAATATCATTTGCACAATTCCTCATGTGATCGTGTAAACCTTTGTACGTATCAACTCTTAATTCTTTTTGATGGTTTTTGCAATACTGAATTCTATCTCTTTCAATTTTTACGTAACTGTCTACTACCCATTGCTGAAATAGCCTACGATCTTTTATAATAGGATTAAACTCATTTTCTTTAATAGCCATTTGAAACCTAGTATAATCTAAACGTGTAATTCTTCGAGTATTGTTTGAACGAAACATGTTGCTATGCCAACCACGCGTTCCATATGGATAAAATAATGGATAAATCCACGATTCAACATTCGGATCCATCGAACTAACAATTTCTAATACCTTCGTATTTTTATTTCTTATTGTAATATAAGATTCCGGTATTTCACCATCTGCAGTCGTTGAAAAGATAGCAGCAATTTCGTTTACTCTTTAAGCATTATATCTACGAATATCTTGACCAGGCTTCAATGAAAATAATAATTGCAATTCGCATGGAGGTGAATCATTTCTCATATCTGTTATTAGCTATTGCATGCGTATTTCATCTTTCATCATTTCATAAGATTTCGCAAAAATGTTTTCATTGCGAATAATTGTATCTGAAATTGACATCAATTGATAATCTATAAGAGGATTTTCTTGCATTCTGTAATTTAAAGCTTCGCTTTGATCAATAATAAAAAGTTGACCATATGAAGGATTGTCATCAGCACTGGGATATACAGATGTATTTATTTGATAATATATTTGACCTTGAATTTTGAAACAGTATGGGCCTGATCTACGCGTTTGAAAATTAACTAAATTTGCATTGAATGAAGCAAAAAATAAAGAATTATTGTAATTACGCATACGTTCAAAAAAAATGGATGACTGTTCATGTTCCCCATTGAATAAAGTCTTAAGTACAGGCGGGAAATCTGGAAATTGATTTAATGTTATGGAACCATGTCCACAGCAGTCATTGAAAGATAATCCTTTATTTGAAACTTTTTCATCTTTAAAATGTTTAGCTTGGCAATGATGGCATAAAATGTTCATTAATCCTAGGTAATCTTGCTCAACTATATTTACTTCTGAAATGCGATTCTGGTCAGCAATATTTTGTCGATCAATTTGTCGCCTTCGTCGTACAGCTTCTCTATCTCTAATTTTTTTTGTTCCCGGGCAATTTTTCTTTCATCTGTAAGCTTTCGATGACCCATACTTTCTTTATAAATTGTAATTTGATAAATTAATGATACTGCGATATATAAGAGTTAATAATAATGAAATAAAAAATGATTTTCTTGGAATGCTTATTAATAATAGACAGTAAACTAATAATTATCAATGTGAATACATTTATTTGTTTGTCCGTTATATATTATTAATTGATGACGTAATATTTGATTTGGTATTATTTAATTGATATAATTTGGCTTTGACTTATTTATTATAATTTGGTTTGGTTTTATTAGGTTTAGTTCGATGTGGTTTGGTTCAATTTGGTTCGATTTGGTTTGGTTTGGTTCGGTTAGCTTTGGTTTAGTTCGGTTAGGTTTGGTTTAGTTTTGTTTGTTTTTTTTTTATTAAATAATAAATATAGAAAATACGTATATGTGCAGAACATTTTCAAATTTATTTATAAATAAATTACAACCATTTATATATATGTAATTATATACATTGACATAAATGTCCTAAAACAATAAATGTATAATTTTTATAAATAGAATAATACAACTTTCTATCCACCGTAAATTTGAATATTCAAATTGTTAAAATGCAATTGAGCTACAATCAAATGCAATTTTAAATGCCCGGAATAATTTGCATGAATGAAATACCACACGTTTTCAATACAATCAAAATATCAATATAAATTTTGAATTATGCAATGACGAATATGAAAACATAAATTCAACATGTGAAATGCACCAAATTTCTTGTTTAATTTCACACTTTATTGATCAAAAATGTTGTAGAGTATCTAAAAAAAAACTGATACCTGAAAATATAAATAAAAAAAAATTAGTTTTCAATAAACACTGTTGAGAACATCATATAAAAATATATATATCACAATAATCATTGCTGATTGAAACAAAAATCTAAAACTTGAAACTAGGTAGTATTATTTGTATTTGGATCAATGATGATACGTTTAGTTGTTGAGAAGCTAAAGTGGAGTAGTTGACACCTGAAATCATAGTAAATAAATATTTAACATAATTTGTACATGATAAATCAAGTTATGTAAGAGAAGAAAATAATGCATACTTATATAATATTAGATTTACATGTTACGTTACGTATTTTTTTTACATCCTGCATGTTTATTTTTTACAAAAAAACAACTTACATTGACAAATTTGATTTATCAATAAATCAGAACACTTTGACTTTAAAAAATTAATATCACATACTAAGAGTATTTTTTTTACTTAATATGCTAAGAGCACTTTGGCACATAATACTGAATCGTATTATAGTATGTAGTTATTTAAGTTTACATGAATGTTGAAATAATAAATTATTGATAAGAAATAAATACGTACGAATGATATACGAATGAAATAAATACGAAAGAAATTAATAAGGAATGAAAAAAATATTGAAACACATAGCTAACATTCTGAGGACGGCATGAACTATTAAAAATTTCGGTAATACGTCATTTTTAAGATATTTTTGAAGAATCTCGTGAAATTTATGCGTAAAAAGGTATTATGAAAAATAGTACGATGCAAATCTCTCTATTACGTCAAATTTTAGTCATCTACTAAAATATAAAAAGCTAAAGCTCAAATAGAATTACCGCCATCAACAAATTAAACTATAAAAATTACTCATGGCCTCTCTTGGGTGTTTTCGAGCCACGAAGTACTTCAGCAGCTGACATTTTCGGAGCTCCAGGAACTGGAATCACACAGTTTTCATCCCTACATTTGATTGTTACTGGTCCAGATCCTGAAAAATTATCAATTAAACAGTATTACTAAATAATCAAATGAATTTTACATTTGAAATAAAATTTTTGATCATATAAACATACCAGTTGAATCAACTTCCCCGATGACTGTCACAAGTACGCCTTTATCAATATTGATTTCAGTGTAATTACTAATGTGTATAGGTATTTTAATGTTACCATCAGTGATGGCACCACAAGCATATACTTCTTTTGTGAATTTATTTTCACATTTAGTAAACTTCATTTTGATGTTTCCCTGAATACCTGTAAAATAAATTATTCAATTACTAAATATATGTATAGAGTCAATGCTCAATATCATTTTAAAATATCATCCTAGTTATTAATAATAAATTTTAACAACAGAGTTCTTTTCTAGAAAAAGAAAACTATGCAATCAGCATAATGCTGATTTAATTAATAATTAATAATTCAAAAATGAATAAATAAGAAATCACCATAAAAATAAATATACTTACGAACTAATCCCTCAGTTTTTCCTACATCAGCGAAAGTTACATCCTTGGCATCAGCAGCCTGAATATTACCTACTGCAGATGGATGATGGTCACCAAGTTGTTCTATGGTTGTATGGACCTTGATCAGCAATTCAAACGGTACCAAGTTATTTACTTCTCTGTAAAAATTTTGAGAAGCACACTTGGTGACTGCTCCTTGAATATGCAATTTCTGGAAATAATATAAATTGTGACGGTAAACGTCAAATTAGCGCTGATTATTTAACTTAATTGCTGTCTGTGAGGGCAGCACCTCCCGGGGGGACGAAATAGGTAACGAAGGAATTCGGCACGCGAGCAGACGGAACGCGCGCGACAGAATTTGAACCAGTGAAGCATAGACCATTGTCGTGTCCGCCCGCTTTCGCTACCACATCTGACATTTCCTGTGCCTTTGATAGCTACGCATCCCAAATCAGCAGCAGCCAGTGATCCGGAATTGCAGCCGTCAAGGTGTCATCCACCCGACTGTTCGAGATCAGGACGAGAGAGAGAGTGTGTGCGGTTTCGCCATCGAGGGCGAAACCAGTGCGTGCGCGTGTCCGCGATCCGCGAGCAAAACAATAATAAACTGTTCCGTGCTGTGCGAGTTGTCGCCGTTTTTCTCCGATCGTCTGCAAGTATAAGGTAAGCTGGCCAGCTTAATCTCGCGACCGCGATTATCTAATTTATGAATGATCTAATTGCGTGCATGTAACAGCGTCTCTATTAACAAAGAACAGCGAGCGTACCGGCAAAGCGTGTTGTCGACGAGCGAGCGTTCATGTAAACAAACGCGCGGGCCGACCTTTTGTAGATTTTGAGGGATAATAAAAGATCCAATTTATATTACTAACAAGTGTTTTCTTTGAGTCTCTCATATCTTATAGCTTCCACTCACTCCCGATTTTAGTATAGGTTATTAATAATTATTGGTTGACTGACGCATACTTTCTCGTGCTCTCCCGGATAAGTAGTGAGCATTGACAATTACGCGTGTCCTTTTAATATAATCGCGCGAATATAATAATTAAACGGTTTTACCCCGTTACAAAATATATGGAAATAATATAATAATAATATGCACAATTTGCTCTCAATCTAAAATTATAATAAAAAGTACGCTTACCTTTCCAATAGCAATTGATCCAACAACTTTCTCAATAAGAGCTTTTCCCCATACCAAACATACCATTCGTTTGGTGCCTGCATTGTTCAAGGTAAATTTGAAAACGTCAAATTTACCAGCACCAACGACTGCTGGTGTATGAACTTCATCTACGCAAGCAACTATCTCTCTGTAAAAAAAAAAGAACAGAATTCAATGATACTCATCAGTAATGCGAATAAAAAAGAATTCATATTATTCCTTACGTAGTGTCATCTTTGTCTCTCAATTCAAGAAAATCTTCATCTGGAGTGAAAGGTAAAATCATTTCATCGTTATTGACTGCAGCTTGTTGATTAAGTCCAGCAGCACTTTGGTTGGCTTGGACGACTTGTCCATTGAGTCCATGGCCTCCAACAATATCATTGTTCTCATTATTGACTACGACTTGTCCATTGAGTCCAGCAACACCTCGACCTCCAGCAATATCATTGTTCGCACCAGCACCATTTAAATGGTTCATTCGTATAGCACCACTTTCTTCATCAAACTCCATCATATATTGCTATTGTAAAAGTAAAAATAATGCATTACATAAATGGATTCTTTCATATATATATATATACTTTACTGCACATTGTAGTATAAGTAAACAACTTATTAAAATTTGTTTAAACATTCTAAT